TGAAGTTTTGTAGGATGACTTGATGACTTACCTTGTTTGTTGAACAATAGGTGTCTAGGTTAAAAATTAGCCATTGTGAGTGAGCTGTAGCAGTGCCAGAGATTGGATGTTAACATTTGAGAAGTGGAGGAAGGGAGGCAGAAGTAAGACTGAGGGTAATCTGCTCTGGTATCTACAGCTAGTAGAGCTATTGTGTAATCAATCCAAAATCAAATGAAAAAATATGTATTTTTGTGAATTAGAGTTCATTGCAGCTATTACATTTTCCACTTCTCTGAAAAAAATTAGACTCATGGAAGATGAAAGCAATCCATATCCTGCTCCTGGTATGGGGCAGCCCTGGATGTACAGACTGGGGAATGAGAGGCTGGAGAGCAGTGCCATGGAAAGGACCTGGGGATCCCAGTCAATGGCAAGTTGAACATGAGCCAGCAGTGCCCTGGCAGCCAGGAGGGTCACCCATGTCCTGGGGGGCATCAGGCACAGCATGGCCAGCTGGGCAAGGGAGGGGATTGTCCTGCTCTGCTCTGAGCTGGGGCAGCCTCACCTCAAGTGCAGGGGGCAGTTTTGGGCACCAGAAACATCAAAAAGCATTAACCTATTAGGGAGTGTCCAAAGGAGTATGGCCACAAGGAGGATGAAAGGTCTGGAGGGGAAGCTGAATTAGGAGTGGCTGAGGTCACTTGGTCTGTTCAGCCTGGAGAAGACTGAGAGGAAACCTCAGTGGGGTCTTCAACATCCTTGTGAGGGGAAGAGGAGGGGCAGGCACTGATCTCTTTGTGGGGACAGGACAGGGAATGGCCTGACTCTGTGTCAGGGTGGTTTTCACTGGATATTAGGGAAAGGTTTTTCACATAGAGGGTGATTGGTCACTGGAACAGGCTCACCAGAGTTCATGCAGGGCCAGGAGTTGAGCTTTGATGATCCTTGTGGGTCCCTCCCATATTCTATGATTGTGTATTTCCATGGAATAGGAGAACACAAAAGGGTGGCCCATGACAATTTTTATAAAATAATTCCTGATATTGTATTATTTGCCAAGAAAAACTGATGACATGTAAGTAGTGAAACTGGATTCTACAGTGTTTTCTTTCATTTGGATATTTTGTCCTGTAACCTCTGTCCAACCCCATATCTCAAGCACCGAATCTAATACATGTGTGGATGCCATTGCAGCAGTTTTGTGACTTTGCTGTGGCATAGAGGGACCAGCTCCTGACTGGCTTTGTATTTTACCTTGCTTCCACTCCTAGGAGCATGTCCCAAACAACGTCAATATTTTGGACAGGATCCCCCTTGTTTACTGCTCTTTCACTAGGAATGCTGGTTTTCTGGGAGCTCATTCCTAGGCCCACCTTCAATGGAATAGGCATTACAGGCTGCCCTGTATCATGTTAGCTACGGGGTTTACTCTTCTAGGGACACTTTGGATAGTGCTGTCACACTGAGCCATGCTACTGACACCTGAACTTCAAGGTTCAAATGGTCTGTTGTTGTCAGCATCCCCTGTTCTCTAGCTCTAGGTTGCTCCTAGTATGTTTTCAGAGGTGTTTTTGGGATGCTCTCACCTTGGGAGCTGAGCCCTGCCTTTCACAAGCACACCACTCTCCCAGGTGATCTGGAAAGAGAAGAAATGTAGCACCAATGCCATGGATCACTCAGGCAGTGCATAGTTACTAATTATTTGTCATGACAGAACCTATATTGGAGGCATTGGAGAGGACTCAATATCAATTTCAGCATTTGTTGATGTTATAAAGTGGCAGGGCAGTTATTTTCTGTTTGAATAGTTACAAAACTGAAGATTTTTTTAAGACAAAACAATCCTCACGCAGATACTGGCACAGGCTGACCATTGCAAAACATCTCCATTTGTCAGTAAGCTTTTGCAACCACTAAAATATCCCTGTTGTATTGTGAAAGCAGACAGTAAATGTTGTATGAGCCAGAAAAAGAACCAGCTGTTAAACTGAATTCCAGTTTCACCTTAACAGGAGAGTTATTTCAACCTATTTTTTTCTGAATTCTAATCAAATTTAAAGAGGGAGGGATAGAGTGCTTAAAGCTCCATGGGAGGAATTTTTGTATTTTTTCACACCTACCTTCTTTGCAATAGCAGGGCCCAGCTTGTGGAGTAAAAGGAATATTGTAAATTCTGAGAGGCACTTTTCAAATACAAAAAGATCACTTTGTCGTCATCATCCTCATCCCCATTGTGCTGGAATATAATGATGTGGGAAATGGTGAGATATAGTTGCATAACTCTGAAAGTTGGCATGTATTCCTCCAAAAGGAAGAAGAAAGAATAATTCCTCTGAAAAAAAGTACTCAGACTTGACAATGCCATATTTTGTTACAGAAGCAAATTTTCTCTCTTTTTTTTTATTTTTACTGTAGAATGTAACTAATCAGAAGGTATTTCAGATTGGAGTTTGTTAGACTGGAACAGTATTTTGGGCAGTTTTCCATTTTCACTGGAACAGTAACAAGCATTCCGATAATGGTTAGTGAGTGCTCAGAGTCCAAGGAAAGGGAAAAGAAAATATATAAACTCTCAAGATTCTGGTAATTGACAAATATCCCTTTTTAGGTACAAAGAGAATTTTGCTTCCTCTTCATTATTCAGTGTGGAACTGAAAGGGTGTCCTTTAGAAGTCTGGGTTTTTAACATTTTCTTTAAAAATTTCTTTTTTTCACATTTTTGAGGACAGATTTCTTAAAAATATGCATCTTGGACACTGAGTATTTAGTGCCCAGTTGAAAACTTGCTTCTGCTTTTTGGCAAGTTCCCTCTGTGTGTCTGACAACAACAAAAAAAAAGGATTTGAAATTCTTTTCTGACCTGTTAGGTGGGAAGGCACTCAGCCTTCCTGGTGGCTTTATATTCAATAGGAGGACACAACTAGAAGTGTCCATGGAGCCTACATATAAGAGCTTTGGAAAAATTCAGGCATTTTATGTTAGATTATCATGCCAAAGTCTTCTAGTCTTGCCTTGTGTTTTGGGTTTGTGCAGTAAGATTTTGGTACTGGGGAGAAGATTTTATTTTATTTCTCACTATTTTATTCAGTATCAAATTAAACTGATTTCCCCAAGTCTGTTTTGCCAATGATAGGAGACAGTCAGTGATCTCTCCCTGCCCTTATCTCACCTCACAGCCTTTAATTCTATTTTCTCTCTCCTGTGCTGCTGAGCAGAGGAGAGAGAGCAGTTTTGGTGGGCACCTGATGTCCAGACAGAGTCACCCCACCACATCTTGCTTCATGGCAGATGTCCCTTCTCTCCTGCTGAGCAGATCATTTGCCACTTGAAGGTGTATGGGTTTTTAGTCAAACCATGATAGGATTTTGAAAAGCTCACTCAATTTGATCACTTCCCATTAGTGAGAGAGACTAATCTAGGATCTGTGAGCCCTGGGGAATGCAAGTTTTGTTTCATTTGCTAAGTAAGTAAAAAATGAGAAAACAGATAAAATTATATCATACAATCTCCTTTTACTTTAGTCCACATAGTAAAAGAGGGGCTGCCCTCAATTATATTTATACCAAAAATGGTTCTCATGCTCAACAGACCACCATGCTTCTAATCCTGCATTTTTTTCCAAACCTCATTCTTACCTAAGATAAAGGTATATTCCTTTTACTAGGTGTGTGGTGTGTGTGTGCTTTTTTTGTGAGCTTTTTTTGTTTGTTTCCTCTGTTTTGTTTTTGTGTTTTTTTTTTTTGACAGAACTATGGGATTTACTAAGTCAGCAAGACTTTTTGTACATTTGGGGATCAGTGGAAAGAAAATGCTATTTCCACTTGATGCTATTTCAGTGGATTAGGCAGTTCTTCAAACATAAATATTAGCTTGAGTGATAATACCTCAAGGTCTCCCAGCTGCCTTGGTGCTAGCTGAGATTCTTGCACATATTTTTCATGGTAGCACTCTTGACATAAAGGTCTGATATTCTATGTGATAAAAATTCTGCCATTATTATCTGAATTGATTCATTATCTAAATGGCACTCATGGGAACCAAATGAGGATACTACTTTAAAAAAAAAAAAAAAAAGTTTAAATATAGTACCATACTAGCAGTGGTTCTAAAGGTTGCTGCATTGTGTAAACACCTCTGCTCATTTCAGCTTTCAGTAGGTCCCCAGGTTTAGCAGAAGTGAAAATAATTGATTGGTGGCCCATTTATGACTACAGCACTGCAGGAAATCACTCAAGGGAGTCTGCTGGTTTTGGTGTCTAGGAGAATTCCCAATGCTCCTTTGAAACACAACATGTCCTCCACTGGGAATATTCAGAGGGATTACTTAAAAAAGCTTAGCAAGCATTTAATAACAATGTACATAATACTTCAATTCATATTCTATATGCTTCACATCTATTGTTTTGTCAGTTCTAATTGATATATATTCTAAGTGGTTTGGAGTTTTTTATTTAGAAAGATGTAATTTATTTTGTAATATATTATATATAATAATATATATATATATTATTATTATATAACTGCAAATACTCTGTTCAAAATTGTTTCTTGACTATACTGACACTTCTTAATGTAGGGTTTAAAGGATTTGGCCTGAAGGTCAAATTCTCATATCTAAACCACATATTTAAGTAGTGGATTCAGTTTTGCATGCCAGGGGGATAACCATACAGTAAAAATAGTTGATAATGTGTATACTAGAAGCATCAAGCACAAAGTTATTTGCTTTAGTGAGAGCAATTGTACATTTAAAGAATTGTTGCTTTCTCTCTGTGTTTGATGTGTATGCATTCACATTACATTACTTATCCTATTCTTCCTCATGCATTATTCATTTTAAATTGCAGTTAAAAGCTACAGCTTACATACAACAAAATACCATCAGTGCTAGGTTCTTCTAGCACTTATATTCCAAAATACTTGCCATTTCACTACTTCACTGGTGATGGAGGGTAAGAAACTGGCTCATGAAGTTCCTCTCATTCTTTTGCTAGTGCTAAGGCTCCATATATCACCAGATGTCCTTCTGCCTGACTGAGATGTTTCTGTGGTCTTTGAAGACCAGCTTACATATTAGAGGTGAGCTGTTTTCTGTTACTAAAACAAATCATCAAAGCTTGTTGATGGACATTAAAGTAATACAAAATTCTGAACACCCGAATGAAGTGTTTTTTGTACTTGGGAGAAAGAAAATTAGCAGCAATACAGTATTTGAATTTGGTCAGCTTCTTTGCTTTTTGTGTCATGGAACTGGAGCATCCTATCAAGTAAAAAAATGTTAAGATTATATTGATTGGATACATTTCTCTTCTTGGGAAGCTGTGGCCTACTTGACTGTGAGCTTCAGTTTAATGACTAGTTTGGGTGAATGATCCACAGTCAAGTGAACTGCAGAGACATTGTGATTTGTACTCAATGTGAAAATAAAAGATTACTGCATGTTCTGGGTATTTTGCATGATTACTTGAAATTTCATACTTGCAAGGATGCATTTGTCTTATTAATTGATTGTTCCAAAAGACATAGGACTAATTCCTAGCCATGTATAAGTTACCTTCATTCATCTTGCTTTGCTATTCCTAAAATATAATTCTAAAAAAACCCACTGGTTTATAAGTGGACTATATTAAAAAATTATTTATGACACATCATGTTAATTGTACCATACAATAATTTAATTGAAATATTATTTTGAATAATCTATTGGTATGCAGCTGAATGTTATTACTGAAATATTGACTCAGTGTGCCTTGACATCCTATCTTTGTGTGAGAACTGTTGACAACAATAACATAAAAAAACTTAAAAGCTGTATTTCATAGAAAAAAATACCATGGTTTAAGTAAAAGCACTGTTGTGATTTATTGTAATTAAAGCTCTGCTGTGGAGTACTGTGCCTGTTTTCCACATTTAACCTTCTTGTTTCCATTTATTCATTGCCTAGTTTCCTTATTCAAAAATTTTGAGACAGAAGGGAGGATGATGTCCTGGTTTAAAACCTGCTTGCCTTTTCAGTGCCTTCCTACATTTTTTTTTGATGTAAGGAATTTCTCCCCACGGAATACCCCTGTCTGACTTTTGGAGGACATGGATGCAGTGACAAACTAATTATTTTAAAACAATGCAACTTAATGCTGTACTTAGACCTGCCCAATGGAGCTTGCCATGGCACCCCTGTTTACCTGTCAGCCATATCAGCAACTGACTGGTGGGATTGCAGTCCCCGTGCAGCTGAAATATCCAAATTTCTTTGCCACAGGAACTAGCTAGATGACAATACCTGTAGATCAAGAATATTGGATCCTTTGAAAGAGCATCTTTATGAGTTCATGAATCTTAAAAAAACCCAAAGCATTGTCTTTAGCTCAGCTGTGTCAGTCATCAGGAAATATTTTTAAGTTATTCCAAGATACACTTTTCACTATGATCCTTACCTTTCCTTGTGAAAGAACACAAAATATGCTAATTAGGAAGGTGGTAAAAATGTTTTTCCATGTGTGCAGCTGGAAGGGAATTAAGCATATGTAAGGGAAATGACAGCTCCAAATAAATGGAAGGGCTTGTCACATCCTTCTTCATCCCTTCTCTGCTGGTTTTTGAAAGTCCCAATGGTATTCAGGCTATATACTGTGCTTGTATTTTAACACTGAACCCTGCTTTAGCAGGCAAAAACTGAGGTGCTGAACCTTGCTTTCTAAGTTGTGTTCTGTTTCTAGTCCCACATCCATAATTTAATGTATTTCCATTTAATTGTACAGATGAAGACATTGGCATCCACCAGTACTGTGACAAGAAAGAACCAGGTAAAATATAAATAACCATTATTGTTACTAAACAAAACTTAGGGATATTCAATGTCTGACACCAACTGCTTGCTCTTAAAAATGCAGCTTCAAATTTCTTGTTTGTATATACCTCTGTATTTCTATGGAGTAAGGAAACACAGAAAGGAGTTCTCTCCCCAAACTTATGTAGGAAAATTAAAAAACTTTTTAAACCACAGAAGGAAAAAATAAAATAGAAAAAAATATTCACATAAAACCAACCGTTATGTAACTAGAAACCTCTGCAGGATTTTACACTCTGGATTCCTAGGGGTTTTAAGACATTTTGTGCTGTGTGGAGCCCAGCGCACGGCCAGGTGATCGCCGGGATCCCAGCAGAGGGCATCTCTGCCTGCCCTCCGCAATGGCCATTCCGGGCCGAGCGATCCATTTCCTCGATCCGATTAATCCTGGCAATCCTGCAAGTTTCCCCACGGGCCGAAGGGGCTGTGGGGCTGGAGTTTCCCCCCTTTCTGCCTGTCACAGTGCTGTTTCACCCGTGCCTGTGCTGATGGACCGCCGGACCCGGCTCACCTCGCTCCTGCCCGGCGCGGCTGCGGCTCGGCGATGCCACCTGTGCGGCTGGGACTGCCTTTCTTGCACTGCGAATTTAAGATACCTGCCTTACAGGGTGAAAGCATCGGGGCTGCCTTGGTTCTTTTGGAAATGTCTGTGTTTTATCCAACTGTGCCAGCCCTCTGTCTAATATTAGTATTTGCTGACAGAGGTTGTAGGGATTCATTCATCTTTCCATCCTCTTTCCCTTAGCATCACTGATGAAGCACAGTTACTTAGAAGAGAAGCAAAAGCTAGCAGAATGTAAGGATATTTTTTGAGTTTCTTCTTACAGTAAGATCAAATGGCAGATTTGGATTGGTTATGCCTCTGGAAGAGCATTAAAATAACCTTAGGCTGCTTCCAATGTAGCTTTCTGCACATGTCAAGTAAGACTGATGATCACAGAACTACACAGCACAAAACAATTGAAAATTTATAATTATTCCTTCTTGGTATATTTGCAATCTCCTTTTTTTTTACTGTCACTAAGCATGGTAGCGTGTATTGCTTTTCAAGTCCATTGTCAAAAGGAATCACAGAAATAATCCAGATTTTTCCTTATGAAATTTACTTAGCAGATGAGCAATAAACATTTTCCCCATCATCTCTTGACTTGCAACACCAACTGGCTTAAAACCGGCAATTGTAACTAAAATATTTTCATCCAAAATAAAATTCCAGACTAATAATCAGCTTCCTTCTTAGAATGGTTTTAGCTTTGGAACATTTACACTGTCCCTGCATTACCTGGTTAAAAGCAATATCAGTTCATGCTATCACAGAGCAGTATTGTGACAGTTAAAGATTTTTATATTAATACAACTTTTCTTTAGCTCAAATTTTACAACTCCCGCATCGCTCAGAGCATTCGTTAATGTCAAACATTATTACATGACAACTCTGAAAGATCTAATTGATCTTTTAGACAATTTCACAGAGCAATGTCTATGCTGCTAGCTTAAACAAATGAAAATTCCAATGGAATTGTGCATGCATATGAAGGCAAAATGTGTTCTGGAAGGATTAGTTCTCCCCATCACTGCAAGGTGTGTTTGGAGCAGGTTAAAGCCCTGCTGGGGATGGGTGTGAAGGTGCTGCTGCCATGTGGCAGATCCACACCTGCTGCAGAGGATGCTGTGTCAGGCTGGATCAGTGCAGCTCTGGGAAGGTGGGGAGGTGAGGGAGGGTTCCAGGCAGGGAGGAGCCTCCCAGGTTTGCATCACATGTGCTCAGTGTAGTGTTATCCCACAGGGCTGCATGTGTGAAAGGAGGAGCAGGCCCAGATAAATCCTGTCACCAGCAGCCCCAGTGGTGCCTTTTACATGTGTGACAGGCAAAAGGAGCTCAAGCTGCTGCTCCTTGTCCTTGGGAATGCAGGGGTGCCCCCAGCACAGAGCCTGCACAGCCCATTTTGGAAAGAGGAGCACTGGGGAACTTTATTCACAGCTGTTGATTTTTACAGATACTTTGGTATCTCTACAGGCAATTTCCCATTTTACATATGTGGATAAATATTCCAGTATTTATGAAGGCACCATTGAAAATGTGATCTTACATGCCTAATTAATATTATCATAACAGTTCCACCAACGCTGGCTTCAGTCCAATGAAACACAAAGAGAAGTTGTATGCTGGTGTCCTCTTTTGTTGATATGTTAAATCCTTCATTTTTTCACTATATAGCACTTCTATTGTAAGCTCCTTTTTGCAGGGAGGTTTAAGCATAACTGCTAAGTCATTCAGTCTGGAAGTTGGCATCCAAACTGACAGCTTGGAGCTCAAAACTTTTCATCAGGTTTCCTTTAAATAGGAATAGATTATAAACAATGTGTTCTAGTTTCTCATGATTTTATTGTACACTTATGAACAGAAAACTGCTCACTTTTAAATGAAGAAATTTCACAAGTTATTAGAGCCTGATTCTCAGCCATGAGACAAACCAATTACTGGCAACTCCAGAGGAAGCTTTGCCTCCTGGTTGCTAGAATTAATGTATTAGGCCAGAATTTTCACAATAGTGTGCTGAACACTAATAAATTTGTTAAAAGACTTCAGCAGTCATACAGTTTCTTCTTTGCTTGACTTGGCAGATTCTTCAGACCAAATTGTCAAGAACATCCTGTAAATAACTAGACTCCATAAATTATGGCATTCACATTTGCCTGTTAATACTTCTATATATGCATATATTCATGCATATATATTTTGCAGACATGTTAGTGCCTGCTTTTTAAAATTAGGCAATGAAATGTTAGTTCAGAAGACTAGACTATGTTTAGGATGCTTGAAACTTGAAACTGAGTTAATATACTGAGCAGCAGATAGTTTTTCACTCCAAGTGCCTAGCAGCTGGGTAAGCTTTGCACACAATTGCCATAGGGAAATCATGGTCATTGTGGATAGAGCATGCCAACTGTTCCTGTGATTGGGCCTTCTGAAAACAGGTCCTTTGACAGTAGAAACCATGGCCACTTCCTTCCAGCTGTAGGTAAGTTTCACATGTAAGGTAACTCCTTGAAACCTTGGATTTGTGTTTCCGCAAAAAGGAAGTTCAAGTCATAGAACTTTTTAATATTACATATATAAATATATGTTTGCACACACACACATGTATATGCATACAATCACTTATATGTACATATTTCTCTACCATCTTTCTTTTTTTCCCCTCACTTTTATTTGACAGCTCGAGATTATCCTTGGATCCTGAAAACCAAGCGACCAGACAAACTGCGAGATGCTCTCAAGGAGGTAGAGGTATGGTTCAGAAAGGTTCAAGCACAGCAACATCTAATCTGGTTTTCAAACCTCTTTCAACAGCTTTAATTTTCATAAAGATCTGACTCTCCCAGGGATGATAAATGTGCTTTTGTCTGGTGGGCTCTTCTGAAACAGCTGCATCTTTGTGTGGCATTTTTCATCTGTAAACTGGAAAATCAGAAGTCTGTTAACTGATAGTGACAATGTGTGCTGCCAACTCCACTCTCTGTTTTCTCTTGTCCTTTAGGACTTAATGCAGAACAGTCTATGTGTGCTGAGCAAATGGAAGAACAAACATACCTGTCAGGTACAGTGTCATCAAAAGGTCTTGCAGTGTTCAGTCAGTGGTGCTGAGCAGCCATTCAGTGATGGGAGCAGTAGTGTTAAAATGTTAACACAGAAAATCATTGGAGTTTTTTTAATATGTGGGCCCTTGTTAAGTAAATTTGCTTTATTTAAATTTCTACCCTGAAAAACATGCTTTAAATAAAAAGCCTGGGGTTTATCAACACAAAGAAATTACATTAAAAGGCCTTGATTCTGTGAGATGATGATGATGATCATGGTGATAATGATGACTATTGTTATTGTTACTGTTATTGTTATTGTTACTATTATTGTTTTGGGAAACTGAAAACATCCTGTACCTCAAAATAGCAGGCTGAGAGAGCAGCTATGTATTAAAATATATAGGCTGGTCTGGAATCTGTGTTTTATTATTTTTATGTCTTAATTATCTACATAACTGTCACAAATCTTTTTTACTTTATACTTGTGTATTATGGAAGGGAAGCTATAACTCTAAACCAACTAGATCATTAATCAAGCTACGGAATAAAAGATATTGTGACATGTGGCACACATATAGTTATGTTCCCTGGCTATATGAGTTCCACATTTTGTGTACAAGAAACCCTTTTTCACATCTTTGCTAAGACAGAACAGTAGGGCAGGGAGGGAAGCTGAAAATTAAGTGCTCCATAATCATGTGCTTCTTCTGAAAAACTTAAGTAGTGAATTTTATATGTTTATACAAACTTCATGAGGAAATGCATCATATTTGAAATTGCTTTGGCATGAATACTTGTCAATATTAATGTTTCAAAAAAGGAACTTTGTCTTCTAAATTCTATGCTTTTTCAGACTCATAAGTTTTTCTTCTTATTCAAGTAGTTCCAAATGTGTGTCAGCAGAATGATTGTTAAATATCCAAACACTGTACAGCTAAAATTCCAGAAATGCCTTTAAGAATAGCAAAATTTTTAAATGCTTGACATGCCAGATGCTATGTAGACTTTTCATATCAATAATAAAAATATGATTGTCTAAGCCACATTTGCCTATCAGATCTCACTACTAGTAAATGTATATCATTCACATACAAATTACATAGTATGTATCTGTGAATGTTAATCTTCTAGAGCTGATTTAAATATTAATTGCTAATTTTGGGGAATCATTTTTTCCTGTTATTATTGTTCTGATTAGGAAAGGAATTTGGTTAAGAAATACCAAGTCAATTAGCTGTGCATGCATTCATTTGCATCCCAGTTTGCTGTCTCTTCATTTGCTTTCCTTGTCCATTCTCCCTTTACCATTTTCCTTCCCCTCCCATTCATCAGCATCCACCTGCAGTGTGTACAGTACATACTTTGGAAAAGTAAACTTCTTGCCAACATGTGTCTTCCTGCCTTTACAATATAACACCTTTGGCTGACTATCAGTTCTGTATAAAACTCTTTATTTTTTGACTTCACATATTCTAAGTTATTTCAGGCTTACATCAACATGAATGAGACAAATACAATTTTATTTATTTCTTATTTCTTCTACAAGATGGGAAAGAAAAGAGATGGGTGTTTTCATCTTAGTATATTAGGTATTGAGCCATGTAAAGCGGTAGTTTAATAAATTGAGTATTTGGGGTGTTTTTTCAGATAGCTTCTAAGACCAGAGTATAAGTGATAGGTTATAACATAACCAGAATGAAAATTTTAGATAAAAATCATAATTATTTCTCTGTCCTTAAATTCTGCTTTTGGTTTCTCAATCACAAAACAAAATGTTTTTTGTTTAGTAGTGACTGATTATTGAAATCTCCAACAAAGGTTAGAATGTTTTGCCAAAACAATTGTGTTATTCCACTTTGTGTCTTCCTGAAAATAAAAGACCTCCAACAAATGAAAATGAAATAGAGAAAAATGAATCTTTTGGAAGAGTCTAGAACAGAAAAGCTGTCTTCTATCAATTTTGATGTCAGATGGTTTGTTTTTCTGCTGCTCATCTGTCTTTGAGCATTTGGCAGCAATAATTGGACTGTTCCTCTTCGATGCAAATGTTCTGAAGCTTCTGGAGAAGATGTTGTATATTTATTTTTTAATTCTAAGTTGAATACTAATTAACTGTTTCAGCAAAGAGTGCTCACCACGCAATGGTGTCATCTGTGGCATGCATAACACTGCTGTATTCACAGCCTTTTTTGGATGAATACCAGAGCTAGTGGGAAGAGTCCGTATTTGCATTAACTTTGGAGAGTTACAGCAATGTGTCAGACAAACAGCATGAAGAACATGTAGGAAATTACCCTGATTTTCATAATTTCAGTGTTTGGGGCTAAATTTGAGCATATTGTTTTAATTATAGTATCTATTTTTCCTTTGTTTTTAGTAGTAATACAATGTCAAATAAACTTCTTTATAGAAATTAAAGTATTTAACTCAACAGCCACATTTTCCCCTTTTTCATTAAATGATATATATATTTGAATCTGCCATATCTGTAGCTGAACCAGGAGCACTTCCCTTTATATTGTAATAAGAATTCCAAAAAGTCAATGGCTGCTGTACCTTGAGTGAGACAAATGGAAAGAAAACTGAAAAGAGATGCAATGAAAACAAGACTGTCCTTTAAAACAGTAGTATGATTTTCCTCAGATTTTGTGTAAAACAAGCATAGGGGTACTGCCAGTAGCCTAAATATATACCACTATTCCTAATGCCTCACTCTTCCTCCAGCACTTCCATCTCAGAAGTGGCCCACAGGCAAAAATTGGGGGCTGTAATTTTAAACATGCATCTGCTAAAAATAAGAGTGCTGTTGTGTTAATTGTTCATGTGCAAATGGCCAATCAGACTTCATGCATATGCCTCAGTGAGGAATCTAGTTGTTTTGCCCACAGATTATTTTGTCCATTGCATGACTGTCTATCTCAAAGTTGGCTCTTCTATATATGAGTTTGCCTAGAATGACCATAATGCTAGCCTGGTTCCCTACCTTAGTTAGTATTTCATTTTATGCATCAAAATTTATCCTATTACCTTTTTATTTTTATTTTTTTTTAATTTTTGGTGTGCAATCAGTGCATTAGAAGTTTCATATTTACTTCCTTGTCCATTGCCATAAAAACTTCAATGACCTTTATTTTTGCAGTCCTATGTATACATTCCAGCACTGCTTAGAGTTTCTGAAATAGATGATGTGCTAGTTCGTGTAAATATAACCTAGACAGTACAGGGATTTTTGTCAAGGAGCTTGCTCTTGTATTTAGAAGAGCTTAGTTGAGTCCTGAAGGACTGAGGTCTTCTCTTTAGCTCTGTTCCAATAGGATCTGAACCCACACCATTTCTGTACAGTACTTCTGACCCCCAACACTGATGACCTGTGTTGAGTTGCTGAAATAATCCTGTAATCTTCAGTTAGCTGATGTCAAAGGAAAATAAATAGACCATAAAAGAAGGATGACAGGAAAAAGACAAGAAGTCTTTACAATAAGATGCCACTGTACTCCTCAGCTTTCTCTGCCAAGAAGTAGTAACCTAAAGAATTAATTTTATCAGTATTGTTGAGTTTATTCAGCTCAGCTCTGGCTACTTCTTGTCTTGGTCTCCTTCTCTAATTCTTTGGAATGCTTTTAAGTTTTGCCATAAAATCAAGAAATCTTTCTATGAAATTATGCCATTGGTTAAGGTTTGATTTTATAATATAAAGCAGTAAAAATGTATGAGGTCTAGCTGAAACGTTTGATTTCCAAATCTTTTTTCATTTTACATTTGCATTATGATGTTGAATTAAACACATGCCAACATTGTTATACAGTTTACTGTATAAAAGCCAAGCACTAGTTATGAATCATATCTGTTACCTGCTAATGAAAAAGATTTATGTATACTTTGCTAAATTGTTTTGATTTCATTTAGTTGTATTTGTGTTGCAATTTATGTATGTGTATAAATAGTTTTTCTATTGTCGCCATTATATATATATAATATATATATATAATAGTTGCCATTGTCGACATAGAACTGGATTCTGAATTGAGATACACAGCAATATTTTCTTGCTTGTTCTATCAGCTACAATGCCCATTAGCAAGCTGGTTTAGGAAGACACATATGTGACATAGCACATTTGATATCAAAACCGAGACATTCTCTCTAGAATACACGAGAAGCCAGCACCCATCCCCAATTACTAAGAGGAACACTGCCCTCATATTAAATTCTTTTGGTTGCTTTTGATCACAACTGTTAATGTGCTGTGTGGTTTTAGATCTTTGGAGCTAGAAGTACAAATGCATTGATTATTGTGAAACAGTAACATGTAACAACAATAACTTCATCTGTAATAAGGCATGCAACACAGTAATTACAGTGGGGTGGCTAAGAAAGCAATCTGGAATGAAGAGGTGGGGAAAAACCCTGGGAACCTGCTTGAACAAGAAGTGCTTTGCAATTCTCTTCTCCTTTTGCATATTCCTTTGTCAGTTAGGCTCTCTAAGGGAAAACAGTTTGCAGCAATATTTTTTACAGGCATATTTTCCTTCTCTTCCAATTTTAATCAGATAGAAGCAAATCCTGGCTTTGCTCCACAGGTATCTTTTTAGGTAGAAGGGCTGATAAGCAGCTGAGCTGCATGAATGAGGAGTGAAAGGCTCAGGCTTCTGAGGATAAAGGGATCCACTTAAGTAGATGCTTAAGTTGTACTAAAGTCCATAAGTCATGAACCTGTACTTAAGTCTTTTGCTTAATAAAAACTATCTCAAATACATATTGGAGCACTTTGCTATTGGGGAAGGGAAGGGCTAAATCTTCCCCTGAGTATCCTCTGCTGCTCATGCCTTTCTTGCTCAGAGGAGAACAATTCTTGGCATATAAAACACATAATCCTTTCTATCAAAGTCTTTATATTCAACTCCTCAGTAACAGAGAAGTGGCCCTTCCTTCCCAGTATGTAGAATAACCAGGTGCCCAAACATTTTGCTCAGACTACATTCAAGTACAAAGTCCCTGTCTTATCCTTCCGATAGGTATGAAGTCATGCTTTCATATTTTGTTTAGGAACATCTTGTGACTGTTTAAGCTCTGGAGATAGCTCTTCTGATTTTATTTTTCCCATCACAGTACTTTAATCTGAAAAATTTATGATGTGTTTCATCATTGTGAATCTCTTTCCCTAATTTAATATCTATTAGATGGAACGATGTAGTGCCTTGTGTAAATAATGCCTCTTACATTGGCTTTTATTCCTTAGCATTGATGGGCTGTTCCCTTTGGAGCTGGATCACTGTGTATCCGTCTTCAAGCCAAGTTTGCAATCTTCCCTATTTGCTTTATATTCATTCATACTTGTGACTGGACTGCTTCCATCCACCAAAATATGAGCTTAACTAGGCAAGCTTATGTGTTACAGCACCTAAATCTTACTATCATGGAACAGTCTTTGCACAGACTACACAGGATGTAGCAAATTGAAATAGTGGTTTCAGTTTGAGCACATAAATATTTTCTCTTTTACAGAATATTTTTGATGAAAGATAGCACAGAATCATAGAATCATTTAGGGTTGAGAAGACCCTTAAGAGTGAGTCCAACTGTTGACCTGATGCTCCAAAGTTCATCACTAAAACCTGCCCTTAAGTTCTACATCTACACATGTTTAATACCTCCAGGGGTGGTGACTCCACTACTGCCCTGTTTCCTTTAAGTGCCTGCTTGTACTTCATGGAAAACTCTAAAAACTAATTTTTTTAAAATCTCAAAAATTTGTTAAAATACAATTTAAGATTTCCCAAATATCTCAAAGTTCTGAGGAGAATAATGTGAAAGAATGTTTTGCTATAAAATGAAAGAAGGTGGGAGCACAATGGGAGAAACAATAAAAGTAATGGAAATGATACTACATTTACATACTATCTGTGATTCTGTCATGCCATAGTGATAGCACAGAGATCTATACAATACTGAAAATCCATAACACTGGTTTAATGACTAGATTCATAAATGTAAAGCAAAGCACACCCATTAGCACAACATTTTATATTTATATAAATGTCTTGTCATGAAACACTGGAGAGGTTTTCATTGATTTCTGTTCTAGCTCTGTAACGGGGGCAATTTATGCCATTACCAGGAAATTAATACATTGGCATAAAGTGAATTTACACCCTGACTGTACTATTTCTGTTGTTAGCCAATAATACTGAAAGATTGGGGATGTTTTACTCTATCAGGCTGATATCCATTCAGTTATGTAGAACTGAGCTTTCTAGAGTATTTATGTAATTTCACTAAATTGTTGTTTACATCACAGTTTGGTAGCTCCTGGGTTTCAACCCTCACTTTTTCCAGCAGGTTTTCTGGACAGTTATAGCCAACTGTAGTCAAACCTTGCTGGACTCCATGTTACCAAGTTGGAAATAAATTGTGATTTTATCTAATCTAACTTCAACATAAGGACAAATTGAAGTTTTGAAAGATTGTAATAAAAGCTGCATGAGTGTAAGCGTGTCTAACATTTTTACTAGGACAAAACCTTAAAGGACATCTGTCATGACAGGGAATATTGAAACATTGACTATATGAATCTATCAAATGAATGTATGATTAGACTTTGGCAGGGTGGGAACTGATCATTTGTTCTTAGAAATTAATTTCACATCACAGGGTTTTATTAGTTTCTGCTTTACACGTCACTAGAATGTATTTTTTAAACATGTTGGTTAAAGGTGTTAGGGCAGGAAAATAATTTGTTTAAATAGACATGTTCTGTTCTTTGGAGAGCACAGTGGTATAACAATATAGCAAAATATATATAAATAAGAGTTTCCATGACTAAATTGTTGGGATCAGAGCATTGCACAAGGGACATGCCCACTTAGATCACTCCGTTCCTGTCCCCCATACTTTTTTTTTATTATACAGTCCAGTGGATTTCACTGCAAGAAAGTGCTGAAGATTATATTGCAACCATATTTGTCTCGCAGCTCCAGCACAAAGCAAACAGGGAATTTTTTTATGTCAAATTCTCCTACAAGAACAAGTGTTTCTTTAGTAGTTAAGTTTTTTAAAAGCACAGGGATTTCTTTAAAAATCTGCTAGGTAGAAGTAAGAGCTGGAGTCCCAGATTCCTGGCCTTTGGTGGACCCTCTGGACTTGCCTGCAGAGGTCTTTCCACTGAGAATTCCTTTCATGGGCTTTATTTTCTGAATTCTTTTGCTGTGGTAGTTGCACTCAGAAAATGACTAATGGTTTAATTATGCAAAAATAAATGTTTTTCATAACTCCTCCCACTGAGCATTCTCTTTCTCATACAAGATACTGCATAAGAAGGAGCTTGATGAATACTGTGACTTAGTCTGCAAGATTATATGTATCATTTAATTTAAATTAATTAGGCATGAATATTCAAATAACTCTGAAATAACCCTGTCCAATAGTTTAAATTCTTTCTTTCTAAGAGAAACATCTAAAACATTATGTCAATGAGTGAATGGATTTATTGGAAGCTCACAGCTACCTCTGTGGTAGGGTGCAATTATTTATTTAAGCAATATATGAATGATCAGAAATAACAAGAACAGCAAAAATGTGCTGGTTTTAATCTGTGATAATAATATAGAATTATATTAAACCCTACTTTACACTTTTTTTTTTACGTGCAGGCAATGCAGTTACTTTATACAGAAAATATCAGGTCTAGGGATGATAGAGTGATCTGTGTAACTTCTTCCCTCCTTCAGAACAAATTTTTGATCTCTGTTTTTAACAGACTAATTCAGTACATTTTATGTAACATTTGGGGACTTAGCTACTTCTTTAAGTGTTCAGCAATTGTAATTCTTGTACCCTTATAATTCAGTATTGTGTTACATCTCTTTCATTGAAAAAGCTTTCTAAGTCATTATAAGGCATCTTCACATCAATGATAATTCATTTTTGTAATTTTGAAAATTAGATTACTACATAATGGACAGCTGCTAATATGTACCTTGGAACGTTTCACTTTATTAATGATTTTTGATTTCTTGTTTTCTCTTTGGATTCAGCTCCTCTTTCACTCAGGTATTTTGGTGTCCCTAAGCCTTTCTGGGCCACAGCTGGAGAAGGTGGTGATTGACAGGACCCTGGTGGGGAAGCTCATCTCCGACACCATCAGTGATGGTAATTACACCCATGTGCAAATCAATTGCCTACATTAACAATAGAGTAGAGAAACAGTATGTCAACAGGTAGACTAATTATTGCCACTGGGGACTTGCAAACACAACAAGTAATTGCATGTAATGCTATAGTTACAACCCTCAGGACTAAGAGCACTTTAAGAATATTTAACATCAAAGTTTTCAGGCTTGTCAAATGCTGCATGGGTTTCTAAAATTCCGTTTCTTACACTGTAATCGCTGTGAACATGCCATTTGAACTTGTCATGTTTATTTCGTAAGTGGGAAAATGGGACAGAACCAAACATTAGCCAATTGAATAATTGCATGGGATAGTTATTATTAAAGTTGTTATTAGAAAAGGCTGGATGAGTTATGTGGAGGTGTTCTGATTTAGTTTCTTGATACCCAGAATCTCACTATTGTTATTAACTAGTGACTGATAAAAATTAAGTTTTCATTTAATGCAGAAGAAAACTTACAGAAATGTCCCTGTTTTCCACAGCTTTATGATATGACTCGTATCATTGAGAAATCAGCTGGTATCTTGGCTTCTGCAGAAGCAGAAATATGAAATTTTGGTGTGAGCCATATTACATGTGCACTACCTTCCAAATTCTTTAAGAGTAGACCCACATTACATCCTTCTAGTAAGAATATGTGCTCAGTTCAAATTTGATCTTTAATGATTTAATTTTCTTTTTACTCAGGTGTCTATTGAATATTGGCCTAGGTTTTAAGAAACTACAACACTGTGTCTCTCTGATCTTTTCTTATAAATATGTTGTAGTTTAGTCTTGAAAATTAGCATGAATGTAACTATGTTAGTAGAATCTTTATTTATAAAAAAATTAACCCTCAGCACATTTCTTATGAACTAATTCCACAGAGAGCAAAGAACACATTTACTATCTTGTCTTCTTTTTTTCACTCTTCACCTTAATTACTGGACTGCTAATTCCATCTATGATTTTTTGCACTCTGTTCCTGGGGGGAGGATTTCCTACTTTCACGCGGCAAAAAATAGGAAAACATGGAATCTAAGGTTATTGCCAAATTGAAGTAGTTTGTGGACATTATTTGGAATACTTTATCATTAAAAAAACTAATAAAAAAGAAAATATGTGGATCATGTCTTACTTTGGATTAATATGGCATAGAAATATTTGTTCAGAAAATACTGCTAACTAAATGAGCTTACAACTAAAACAACAGTAAAGCAACAAATATATTTTAATACATTTGGACAACTGTACTAATTATATAAATAGCATTATATAATGTTTTGTCCTTGTTTTCACTTATTCAAGGTTTTCTTAAACCTCCGTGTTTGCTAATACCCAAGTCTGTAGGTGAAATAAAACTGCCTCTGTTCAGTAAAAGCAAAGCACTGAATAACTTTCATTGCAATACAGTTTTTATTTTCATGAACAATAAAAGAAGGTGCTTTTGTTACCCACACAAATAGTGCTCAAAATACAATTTTTTATGCTGAACTATCCTTTCAAGTGAAACATGAGATAATGTTGTCCTAGAGGAAATTAATTTTAATTCAATGAAACAGCACATCTCTCCAAATCTGACTTCAAATTATGTCTGTGATTATAAAGTTGGCCAAGAGTAATTCTACATTTAGCACAAGAAGCCTGTATAAAAATATTAGTTCTTACTTCAGCAATTGTGTATATGTAGAAATGGATAAGGGTTACAATCTGCCAGAATTACTTATGAAATGTTGTAATTCTCATTCAGAGTAGCATGTCCTCCTAACATTTGGAATAAAGGTCAGATTGTGTGCACAAAATACTATTGCTTTTATAATCCTTCTGCTTCTAAGAAAGTTCTCCTGATTCTTATTATTTATAGGCAAAATTTCATCACCATCTAAGGTGCACTGCAGCTCATTTTTAAGGCAAACCATATGTGTTAGGACATCAAAATATTTTAACTGTGAACATACATACTGAGGATACCATATTCAGTGGTTTTCAATTTTCATGTGTGTGCAGGATCTCAGTTATAGCTTCTGAATCACCTTATCAGATGCTTTATCACCTTTTTCTTTTTCTTTTTTTCTTTTTTTTTTTTTCCAAAATAGCTGGTGTTAATGTTACATTTCAAAGGCAATTATTTGGCTGTAAACTCTACCCTTTAGCATTTGCATACCAGATACTTCAGAGTTGTGCCAGGACATGACTGTTGGAAAATGCAAGTGGTTATAAATTAGACTAAAGAAAAGCAAAGCTGAGTAGCCAGTTTTCCATGTTTATATTTAAGACTAAACTGTCAATTAACTTAAGGATATGTAAAATTTGGATTTAAGAATCTGGGCTATTAGTAATAAATTATTTTTTTTTTAGTTTCTTTTTCAGAGGTTGTTCCATAGAATTTTGATTGTTTCTAAATCTGGTTCCACTTTAATTGGCATTTTCCTTTTAGGAGAGGTTTTTGAGTTTACAGTCTGAGCACAACTTTCTAGCTTTATTTTAAACTATCAGTGATCTGGTACTACTTACCCCAATGATTCACTTCATATTCAGACACCTCTTCAAGTGTGGGTGCTGCTCGAATAACTGGGTAAAAAAATCCTAGATACATTTTTCTAAGTAATTTTCATTGACAGATTAGTTAATCACTTTTATATTGAACTAATTTGGTCTAGCACCCCCTATGATAACAGTGGGGATTCCACTGAGCTTTTCCAAACTCCAAGGGAGTCTGTTCCATCATCATTACTTGTATCATTTGGGTACCCCATGTGAAGATTTCAGTGAATTCATAACCCCTCTAAAGCCTTATCCTGCATGTAACAGCCTCCTTGGTGTCTGCAGCAGCAGCACCAGGAACCTTACAATGTCAAAATACCACACACACCTCGAGTACTAGTTTGCATTTATCACCCTTAACACAAGCTAAGCTATATGAAGTCCATTTGAAAATTACTGGTGGATGCAACCATAAGAAGAAAAAAATACTGAAGACTGAATAGATACTGAGATGAAAATTAATGTGGAAGGGCATAAAATGTATATTTGAATGTAATGGTATTTTGATAGGAGATAATTTATTCAGGTGTATGTAATCAGAGTATTCCCTAGGCTTTATTTCTCATTTCCAAGAAGGTCCTGACAGGATGACACACTGATATGTTTCAGGACATTACAGGGCTTTCATTGTAATATTTAAGACACTGTCTTGAAAAAAATTGCTTTTTGCAGTGTCTCAGTGGAGTGTTCACGACTTTGTTTTATTCCTAGAGACAGGTATTACAGTACTGACAATTTTTATTTGGTTTTTTTTTTCCAGCTGTTCTTACAGACAATTTCATCATCTTGTCATTTGAGGACCATAACCAACTCTGCTTAATTCAGTTTACAAAGGCAATGGATTCTCCTGATGTAAACAAAAGACTGGAAAAACTCTCTTGTTTGGACTCTAAGGTATAGCTGCCAATGGTGGCTGCAAATATTGCAGGAACTGTACATCATGAATCACTAATGTTCACTGATATTGTAGTGCCACATTAATTGCAAACCCCTGTATAATTGATCAGAACAGCTCAAATTCTAAAAATGGCAGTTACTGAAAAGCCAATAAAAATTAGAATGTCATTCTGAGTTAAAGAGTTAAAATACTGTGCCAAGGGATCCAGATTTCTACTGTGTTTATTTTCAGGCTCAGACACACATTTGAGTTACCTCTGCTTGACAGATTACCTTGTGTCCATTGAGCAGCAGTAAGTGACCCTTGGCACATTCTTGGCATCTAACAAGCATGAAGCAAAGTCTGTAATGGTAAACCTCAGTGTAAAAGATTTAAGTAAATGTATTTTACCTCTTGCATGTTGTGGGCTAAAAACACACACACAGTCAGTTAGTGTGGCTCAGCTGACAGACACAAACACATGAAGCTCTGATAGTTCAGTCACCTGTCTGAGGTCCTAGACTGTTGTAATTCTTTACAGAAATCCTTATTTCCCCACTAGTTACAATAATGGTGTTGTTGGGAGAGTTGCTTTTAGAATTGAGCCAGTGAGAAGGAATCAAGATATGAGTGGTTTCTCACCACTGGCCAGCTATGTGTGTGACCTTAGGCAAGTAACTCAGTGCCTCGGTGTCTCAATTCATTAGTTACACAGTGGAGATTGAAATACTCCTTTTTTGCAGCCCTTTTTGTGGGGGTGTGTCTTCACTACAGTGACAGCAGCAGCTGAAAGGTAGCCTAGAGAGAGCTGAGCTGAGCTTTAAACTAACCAGTCTGGAGGTCAGTGGGAACAAGCTCATCTCAAGATGAATTACACTGTGTCGTGGATGGATTGGGCTGGGCAGACATAACTTATTTCAGCCATAAGCACTTTGGCATCCAGACACCACTTCCTTAGGTGGAAGTGCTTGGTGCTACAGCAATATGAAAAAATAATCAGCCACGGCAATTAACTTCGAACAGTTGAAGTAGGGAAGGGGCTGCATCCAATTCCCTGCAAGAATGAAGAAGGGTCAAGCCTTTTCCCAAGAAATGTAGAAAGATGTTGTGAGCAAAAGAGAGAGTTTATATTTATTTCAGACTGGATAAACATTAGAGAAAACAATCTTGTGCTAGCAAATATTTTCCCCTTGACAACCCCTCAGTAATTTACTTCCTCACATAAGGGAGCTTGCATCTGCAAGGCAAGCTTTTTAAAGATATGTTTAATTTAAGTTTTGCCGTAATGTGTTTTAACTTGCTTGGTAGAAATACTTTCTGCTAGGATTAATATCTAATACATTTTCCAGGCTGTTTCAGTTCAGGGCCTCTTTTCAGCAATGGCTCGTGTTTGCAAGATTGATCCAACCTCTATAACGTGGATTTGAGACAGTTCACTGTTCACTGGGAACTGAGCTGATACATACTTTACTTTAAAATGCTGTGCCTTGTGCCTGGCCTGTGGCGTTCACTGAGGCTGTGCTTTGGGAGCAAGCGTGGTGTGTGGCGGGGCTTTTCTCTTAACAGCACTAAATTTTATAGAAGCAGCTGTGGTGAACTACCTTTGTCATTGAAGTGTGAGGGCCACAGCTCCTGACTTAATGTTTAGAAAAACCAGAAGTATCTGCTGCGCTCCTTAATACGGTTGTTAAGTTCAGTTCTTTGCTGACACAGCTGAGCTTCTCAAGACACCTCCATGCACAAAATTCCCTTTGCTTTCTTTTGAAATCAATGGGAATCACTATGGAATATTTCTCTACCAGCCAAAAAAAAAAGGCATTTGCATTTTTTAATTGAATGTTCTTTTGTGTGAGGCTCGCTAGTTAGGCAGCTAAATATAATTTTTATTATCTTCAGAATTGCACCAGTGTGAGACTGCAGAAAGTGTTATTCACTTCTGCAATAATATTGAGTGAGCTCTCTGCATTGATTTATACTTCTTTATGGCTGATTTTGGTCAAACTTCAAAAGCTGAAAGATCACAGACATAGCACTAGTGTCAATCTCACTAGAAAAATAAGATGTTCCTCAATTTCAAGTGTGCAAACTTGTAATAGTATGTAACAATATGTAACAATTACAAATGTTGTGGGTTTAGGGGAAAAAAGGGTTCTTTAGAGCTGAGATTTTGTTCAAGAGAAATTGAATGAGAAACGTAGCGTGCACTGATATAGAACTAACACAGGATTAAAATCTGGAGCCAAGATTTAGGGAATTTGATTGTAACCTTCATTTCCGCCTCTGACTTTTGGCGTAGTCTTGAGAAATGTAGTATTTGGGTTTACAGTCCCGTTTCTAAAATGAGGAAAGTGTTTGTAATGATATGATTAAATTTCTGACATATTGTCATTGTAATGATAAGCAATCTCACATTGTTTGATGTCCAGGCTCATGGTGGGCAAAATTGGCAGCAGTGCTGGACTGCCAGGGTTCTGCCAATAATAAGAACAAGTCAACCATGCTTTCCTCATCACAGCTTGATATTTTTATTAAAGTTGAGTTTTTTATGCAATGCATACCTAAATGAATGAATTAACCTCCCTGTGCTCTTCCTTTCTAATTGATACCACCATGAATTTTATTTGCCCTTTGAAGCAATAAAGGAAGACTTATTATATAAATGACTACAGGCTTGAAAACCAGTGAAATATAAAAACCAACTATTATTATTTGCCTTTTCTCAGTGACATGAATCCATGTTTGAGAGTAACATGTCTAATGCAAGACATAAAGGTCAACAAAGATCTGTGGCTGTTACGACATGTGCAATTGTTATTAACAGTTAACACTACAATGCAGGACTAATTAATACTTGTGGAAGTATATGTGCTTTTCCAGCCTAATCAATGTGTTGTCACCAAATTAGCTATTCTAATTCAAGTAGCAGCTACATCCTAACTATTATGTATGTTTTATCTTTACTTGTTAAAATATTTTGACAAGTAAAACACAGGATATTCTAAAAATATTGACCTTTTTCAAGGTTTTCCTGTCTATGTTTTTTTAATCCATTTAAATTTACTGAAGGCAACAGAACAAGGAGTTAAATGTTTACCATGAGAGAACAACATTGGTAATTACTTTGATTTCAGTTCCTTTTTATGTGTATTCATGGGATGAAGAGGTCAATAATATTATGACCATGCAAATAGAAAAGGGTTCTTTTTGACCATATAAAAAACAGCAAAGGATTATTAAAGCATTAACCTTGATTTTAATGGCCTTGGTTGAGAGCTGAGATCACAATTTGGATGAGCCTGATTATTTACTAAATACAATACATAAATGCAACGGGTTCTTAACACCCATTGCACTCTGGCATTATCGCATTACTGCCAGCCTTTGTTGCCTTGCAGACAGGAATATGAAAGCAATCTGTCATGTAGTGAGACTGGCTCCAGAAGCATTTCTCTGATAAGAAGACCCCCTGCCCTTTGCTAGTGTCTGGTCCAGTAGGCTTAGCCATGCGCTTAATCCCCAGAAAGTGGTTCGATTATTGCTGACCAGCAATGGCAAGATAGTTTTTTTTTCCCCTAGCTATCAACCTTCCATTAATTCCTTAAGCAGAAATGCGGTGCAATCTATATTTCCTTGGCATGTGTCACCCAGATGGTGCACTGCTCATGTTTTCAAATAACCATGCTCCAAATAACAGAGTTTGAATAATAAATTCCACAAATCCTTCCTGAGAAAGAGGCACAATTCTCAAGAGCTGCATAAACTTTACGCATGATGCCGTAGCTCATCCACATTATGCAGAAAAGTATATGTTCTTTTGCAAAGCGGATGTTTGTGTTTCCATTCCTTAATTTGGGGAGGAAGAAGAAAGATATATGTTTGCTCAAATACTGTAGAATATATTTAATATTTGATTATGTCTTAAACACTAGCCTTAGCTCCGTGGTCAGCTTTGCAGAACTTGTCATTTAATATGGCTAAGCTTAAATCCTGTGTGGAGGTCGATGCTGTCAAGCAACCATGACTGTACATTTTGGTATTGATTGGAGTCATTGCAGTAAATTCCTTCTTAACTCATATTCCTTTCCATCCCAATCCCCTCCCCACAGATAAAAGAGTGAGCATGTCTTTCTGTCTGAGGAGATATTTTTCACGTTTACAGACAGCCTCTATGAAGATATATGTATGCAGCACTCTGTGTATATATACATTCTTTCTCACACATCAAAAGTAAACACCCCCATTTGCTCCTACCATGTTATTTTATCACCTCCAATATTCCCTGCATTTTTTTCTTCCATCAGATTTCTTATGTTGATATACTTGGACCAGAAGGTAGAAGGATGAAACGTCACCTGGCAATAAACTGTATGCAAGATCTGGTCATTTGCTGGTGGTCAGCAACTAGTGATGGAGCATGGCCTTGGTCTCCTATTTCCTGTCAGAGGGACAGAGCCAACCTATTGCTATTAGGCTGTGCACATGGAAAATTGGAGGTAAAGTGATGAACTGTCTTGTTACATGATTTTTTCAAATTTGCTAAAGAAAGAGCTATTCAACTTAAATGCGTAATCGAGTAGCTATAAAGAATAGATGTGATTAAAACATAAGACAGGAAGATCAGACATTCTAATAGTAAAAACAAAGGTTTTTTATTTAACAGAAAAGCACCTTCTTTACTGTGTTTACTATTTTCACATCAAAACTGTCAGCCTGAGAAATGTAGCCAGGAAATTAGGTCTTTATCATGAAATAGCTTTGGTGCAGCTGAAACTGAAAATAGAAGTGTCAGAGTTCCACTAGAAAACTTTAATATGAATTAGCAATTGTAACTGTTGCATGTATGTCTGATGCAATTATTTTACACTGTCTGCCATGTTAACTGATAGGCAGTCTACATCTCTTTCAAGTGTTTTTCATAAAACATTAGCTCTGCCCAGATGGTGGTTAAATTTTTGTTTTGAGTATTGGTCAAATCAGGGACTGATATTTTTCTCAAAGGAAAAGTTAAAACTCCCTATCTACAGGTGGGAATGTAAGCTATGAGTTAGGACAGAGCAACAAGCTGACTCTCCTCCTGACACCTGCTTTGCTTACATTTATAGGCAGATGTTTTAATTTCAGTTATTTAATTTTTGTTTCATCTGTTTAAGAATATTTGAATCCAATTTGTTTTATTAGGTAGAAATATAAAAATGAAGTTATCTGGGCATACTCTGAAAGATCCAGAGTCTGAATTTAAAATGTAAAAGCTTTCCTATACTAACATCTTGTATAGATGCTTCTGTATTTGGAATTTTATATTCCGTTTATCTTTACCCACTTCTAATATGGACTAAAAAGGCACTGACTGTAGGAGAGGAGCACAAACTCAAGGAACAGCTGTGAAATAGCTGTTCTGGATTAGCTACTGCAGACTATTTCCCTGTAGGGAAAATCCCTAAGTGACACTTAAGAATAAGCTACTCTTACAAACAGCATCCTCCTCTCTTTAATTAGGGAAGATGTAAATGTTTTAATGTCTTGGAACTATTACTTTGATAACTAATATTCATTTAAGTGAGATTCTTTTCCCTTGGGATTTTCTGCCTATTGAAAGTGAAGAGAAAAGGTAGCTGAGACAGCTTTTCTTTTCTTATTTCTGTCATTAGTCACTGAAGAATTGAAGTTTAAATTACCTCCAGCTCTGCCTTCTTTACTTCTTTTCAATTGACCTCTCTCCACTTGCGGTCATCTTTGACTCATCTCTCTCCTCTGCCTGATCTACACCTACAGTTCTCCATTCCCCTGCAGCTATGCCAAATCACACAGAAAAAAATTACTCTGGGAGCTAAAATGTGAGGCTGTTCTTTGTAAGCTTTTCCAGCCCTGTGCCAGTTATTATGAAACTTCATCCTACTAACATTTCAGACTTTATTTTTTACCATGACTTCTCTAAGTCCAGGTTCTGAGAGCAGCATTCCTGTGCCTATTTTATTCCTCCCCATGTCTTCCAGAAATCTCCCTAATGCCACCATAGCAGTTTGCAGTTTCTGTTTCCTGATATGGTTTTTTAGAGACTCATTTCTTTTAAGAAATTAACAGAAACCACCCTGACAGTTTAAAGTTCTGTGTGTTTCATTTAATACGTTTTAGGGAGATTGCCAAATCACATCATTCCCCTGCATCTTTCAATACACCTTGTTTTATCCTTTTCTGGTTTAAACTCTAGTGTAGTCCCAAGCACATCACTGGTGCTTTACACAGTAGTGATAATGAACATTCCCTGAGGGTTTAGGCTTAAAGTCATAATCATTTTAATTTGGCCTATGTTGTAACAGAAATAGAAGAAACTTTCTTAAAAGTAGCACTGCTGAATTTGACTGTTCAGTTGCTTTCCCCTTTCTGATTCTTTGTCTCTACTTTTCTGTTTTAATTCTTAGATCTTTGGATGAATTTTTTTTTTCTTGTGTTTATTAATAAAATACCAAGTACTATGGCAGAGCTATGGAAAAATTAGTCATAGATGAGTAACAAACTGTCTTGCTGGTTGTCAGTTAGGCTGTGCCATGTACTCAGCTCCTGGATGCTCAGGAAGCCTCAGGTCACTCTGCCTATACATTTAGCCTGTATGTCCATGATGAGTCACCCATGGTGGTGTTTGCTTGAGGTTTTTTGTTTGATTTCTCTTGAGTTCCTTATGGGCAGGGATTAAATTCCTGTACATGCAGGGAGAATGTCATGACCCAGAATCTGTAGAATTAGCATCAACCCCCAGTCTTCATTTAACTGAGGTGCATTTTTCCCCTGCAGTCTTGGAGGGAAACTTTAACTTATCACCTTTAACTTCTGAAGGACATTTGATAGCTTATACATGGAAAAAAACCCCCAAACATAGCTAACATTTCTAGACAGCTTACAAAGAGTTACTCTCTGGGTCAAATACCACAAAAATACAGTGGTTCTGTAATCATGCTTATTGGCCTCTCTTTGCTTCTAATACCTTGCCATTTGTAGTATTCCTCAGGTACAGATTTGAAATAAAAACTGGACATGCCATTGTTATTCATGAAAGTAAATCCATATTTATCATACTTGACCAGTAATACTAATTTACTCCCAGTGAAAGATTATTGTCAATACTAGAAGAATGACAAGCATGAACTTACCTAGAGCATTTATCAAAAAGAAGTGTAGTAAAGTAATACCACCAACATTTCACTTGAAAATAGTAGTATCAGCTGGATAAAATAGCATTATCATCTAGAATTAGGAGAAAAACAGGAATTGCTGAATAACAAGACCATAAAGAGCTGTTTGGCATGTTTGGTTTATGAAACCAAGCCCAAGGAAATGAATGGATGCTCCCCACAGCCATCACCTCAGTGCTGACCTACAGAAACCACAAAACAACCTGCCAGCTGCTGCCACTCCTGCTGCTGGGCAGAGCAAAGGCAAATGGGCACTTATGTGGTACTACTTCCTGCCTGGAAGAATTTTCTGAGTGATGCTGGCTGCCCACCAGAAGAGTGGCATCCTAATAATCCTTATTAGGATGCGGACAGGAATAGCTGTGGGATGAGACAGCTCAAGCCCTCATCATGATCATCACCTGTACCTACATGTTCTGTGCTGGGATGATTCACACTGCACATGGAGTGTTTGGGCTCTTGTGTGCTTCAGCAGCTTTTCAATTTAGGGAAGGAAAAATACATTTTACTTTTTAATCACTAGAAATTTGAAAATTTCTAGTAGAAATTTTAGATTTGATAGAAATTTGATTTGAATTTTGCCACGTGGCTTTATATTTTTAGCGTTTACTACTATTAAGGCTACAGGTAACCATTATTCCTCAACAAACAGAAATAACTTTTTTCTTGCAAATCTTGACTTATTTTACTGATTTTTATTTTTTTTTGTCTGAGATCAGTGTTTACTGTGTTGAATGCTGTAAGATTTGGTGAAGAATTGTCCCTTGAAGAAATAAAAGGGCTTTTCTCTGTAGCATGTGACCTTGCTTCGGTGTGCAATGCATGTTGCTGCAGGAGTATTTGTCTGTTGTACCTTTGCTTTCCTGTGTGCATATGTTTCCTCCAGTAAACTCACCCATTCTCTAATTTATTTATTTTATTATTGGGAGTTTGTTTGGTTTATTTTGTTTGGGGTTTGTTGGGTGTTTTTAACCTTAAAGTACCAAAAATCAAAGAATCTTATTTAAATTGTCTCCCAGTGGAGATAATGCTGGTGTTTTGATTTCAAAACCAGAAGAGGAATCTTCCAGAAATTATTTCAGACAATTTGCTATGAATGAATAGGATCTGATGTGAAATGATCTTTGGATTAAATGCTTTGGGAGAAAGTCATGTTCAAATCAACATGAACTTTATTCTGCAAGCACAAATTAAGAGGAGGTGCTGATGCCAGGGCTCAGTTACTGTAGCACTTTGCATTTGTCTTTGCCATTCTTATTTTCATTCCATTTAGAGCTAGTGGGAATGACTGAAATTATGCTTCAATCTTGTGGAAAAAATAATTTCCCTGAGAGAGAATATTATTTTCCATTCTCCCAAGAGATAATATTTAATAGTTATTGCTTTCACATTGTGCCTCGGATTTGTGAAATAAGCACAGCAGATCTTTCCTGTGTGAGCTGTCCTACAGTTACTGGAGTGCTCAGAAAAACATCTACCCTGTGTGTCTGGATGGCTGAAATACCTTTCACACACATATACAGCAAAGAATGTGAAATCCTCAGTGTCACATTGGGTTAGAAGTTCAATGAATAATACAGGACAAAGATGATGATCGTAAATTTTGAAAGAAAATTAGTGTTGACTGGAGATCTAAATAATAAGATTGTAGGTCTGTAGATACAATGAAGCCAAATAAGTAACCTAGAGAAGGAGCCTTTAATTTTTATTTAGAAATGTTTTTGATTAGGGTTTTTTTTTTCCTTCCAACTTCACTGGGCCATATTTAAAACTATTTTAGTTTGGTGTGCAGCACACTTCCCACTTTACATTTCTAATTAAAATGTTTGTTCCTATTTGGAACCTCACTGTGTGAAATTCAATAAGCACTTTTTTAACATCCATAAAATAAATCAAACATTTTTTTCTCATCTGAAAGACACACAATTCAGTCACAGCAAGCTTATTTCTATGTTTCTTTTGTGTTCTTTTTTTCATCTGCCTGGTAAGCCAATTTTCTGCTTAAGAACTACTGGTTAAAACTCTTACTTGTTTTGCTATGTGGACTTTATCCTTTCCCAGCTCTTTATGCAAAATACTTCAATTTTAGGTGCTCAAAGATTTTCACTGCGAAGAGTGATACTGCCCACACAAGCTAGCACTATTATTTCTCTCAAACATACAATGAAAGAGTGTTTTAAATAGCATAGCAGGCCTTTTATTTACAAAGATTAACAGATTCCTTTACTTGGATAGTTATGATTCCTGGCTCTAGGATTTGGGAACCTGGCATCCCTCATCCTGCTCATGAACTGAGGCAGAGTCCAGGGCAGTACTGCAAGGGAAAAACAATATAAATGTGCAGTAGTGGTGCATGACTGCTACATTAATAAAGGAAATATGTATAAATTACATCGACAGTATTTAAATGCATGTACTGTATTTTATCCAGCATTCATGTAATAGAACTTTTAAATTTTTTAATTAATGTATTTATTTTAAAGATATTAGTTGGTTTTACTTCATGCAAAATACTTCCAGAAATCTTTTCTTGAAATCCAAGACTAAGTGCTTAGTCTAAGATTTATGAGGAGTATTTAATGTTGAATGGACTATACACCCTGCCTTGTGATATTACAGTTCTGTCTTTTCAGATTCACTGCCTTGTCCCCTTCTCCACAAATATGACACCTCTTCTACCCAATTCTGAGGAAATTCTTCCAGCTTTTGTTTTCCCATTCCATATAAAAATGTTTTGTTAAATGTTTTAATGTCACCTTTTAGGAGAATCTTTTAGGTTTCCAGAGAACTACTGCTCATCAGGAAGGAATCTCAGTGGATTCCTTTAAATGGAAAGCTAAAGTAATATGCTAAATGTAATATGCACTACATTTACTACCATGTGTCTACTTACCAGATAAAAAAACAATTGGCAGAATACCATCTTCTTGGGGAAAAAAAGAGTTTGATTATTAGACTTCTTACCTTTCAAAAGCATTATCTTAGCATTATTAATGTTCCTGTAGTTGTGTGTCTCTATGCTTTAGTCTTCCAGTTAGTGGCATGAACAATGAATAATAAAACTAATTTCTGACAGAGAAACCCGAATCTTCCCTCTCAGATGAAAGAGAATATTCATTTTTCACCTTCAGAATGCTGAATACCAGACACATTCAGCAGAACTGGAAGGCAGAACAAAGAGGTCTCTCGGCTTGGTTCTCTTCCTGCAAGAGGCACATGAGGCCACTGATGCATGAGAAGCAGCTTATCTGTTCCAATCTGAGGAGAAATGTTTCTCTTGTTTTCAGCCAGAATTTGAACAGCAGTGTCTAGAAAGGTTTCCTTTAAACCTTATGGGTTTAAACATTATGCCAAACCTTATGTTTTGAAAGGCAACAAAGGGTTTCTCTCCTTGCAGGAACTTTTTCCTAGTTTAGAATTGTGTTATATACAGCAACCAGACCTACCCTAGTCTTCATTTCAAGGATTTGCTCTCTAAACTAAGTGAAGCTAGGAAGCTTCTCATCTCAAGACTTATTAAATTAGTCTTCCAAAATGAAAGATTTTACTTCCTTTGAAATTCAAAGTAGTGATCATCATTTTTGTCCTACTTTTGCTCTAAGAAGGCAGGACAAAATGATGAATTTGCTCCAGTTTATTTGCTGACTCTCAGACAATCATATGGCAACATTCTTTTCTGTGACTGTTTCCATTGCTGTTTTCCTCCAGGCACTCCTATGGAGTTGTAAAATCCATGTTTCACACATTTTCTTCTCTATTGCCTTAACCTTCAAGGCCAGTCTCTTCAGAATTTAATAGTGTTTTCAGGCTCTCATCTCTCACAGGCCTGATTATTGTGTAGATCTTCATGACTTTCTTGCAGCTTTTCAAGAGTTATCCATAGAAAAATACTTGTTGGGGGCAAAATATGTAGCAGAATAACATAGTACATTGAAACTTGCCACAGGAAGACAGAAATGTGAGTCCCAGAGAGCCTCAAGGCTCATTTCACTGAACTTATGGAAGCTTTGAAGACTTGCTTGGGCAAGATTTGTTTCACACATTTGAAAGGGAGCTACCTGGGTCTCTATACATACTCCTAGGGAAAACTGCAGAACAAACAGTAACACTTCACTTTGTCTTTATTTGGAGTTAGAAAACTCTATGGCTACAGTAATCCTCTGTCCAGAATAATCTCTTTTAGGAGTTTCCTTGCCATGCAATTTAACACCCTAATAAACACACTTCAGCAGTTCTAACATCTGCACAGTAGCCACTGCAAGGTTTTGTGGGCATAAAATGACTAGTTGCAGAGGCTAAGCCATTGGTGAGGGAATGGTTGAGGTGAGAACATGTTTTTCAGATATAAAAGTAATGTAATCTTTTATTTCCCCTTTGATACATATTTTCATGGATCTCTGTTGAGATTGGTTAATGTGGTTTTCACAGGTTGGTTGCATTGGCTTCTGCATCAGGTGCTTTTGCATGAAGTGCTTCTTTGCATGTCCCTAGCTACTCATCTAAAAGTAGCAAAGAGTTTTGTATTAATTGTCATCTGGTTTCCAGCCAGAGAGTTGCAATAATCCTTTTTTTCTTTCTTTTGAGTGAGAAACCCTTTTGCTGACAAAACAGGTAAACTGTCAGAACAAAACATCCTAATCAGTCTGATCAACATCCCAAAAAGCTTGTTTATAAATTTATCAGTTACTTTAGAAGAAATGGGTGGTATGCCAAAAAAATATCTGAATTGCTTATTCTCCTTTACAGGATGAAAGGCTAAATTGCATATTCAGTTGGTCTTGTGAACTGTGGAAATAAAATTTAAATTGCTCTAACGTTATGTGTGCCTTTCTGTTTTCACCCTGAAATTTATAGATTTCCTTCCTCATCCTCTCTCTACCTTTTAATCACATTTTTTACCCCTTTCTGTGCTTTCATACCACCTGGTCTCAAGGGGCTTCCAAAAGTTGTGGCAAGTCAGCAGCTTTAATTTACAATGTGGAAATTGCCCTGGGTATCCATGAGGGCAGGGCTCAGCTCAGGTTCACATTTTCCTTTCAGTTTTTATTTCTGCATGAACAAACACCAGCAAGTTTCTGACTGACTTCCACTACTCTCATTCTTCTAGAGCCATGGGTTTTCTCTCTATTTTTTATGAAATAGCTTTTCATAAGCTCATCTGTAACTTGTTTACAGCTGTTTTTTCTCCTGTGGTTTCCCTGCTCAAATCCTGTACATCTCTCATTCAAACCCATTTATCATAGTACATGAACCTTCACTGGTCTCCACTGCTGCTTCCACCTCTTAAGGGTACTTCCCATGTTTCCACACTGCAGGTTCTTGCTCTTTGCCATCTGCTGTCTTTTTATCACATTCTGCCTTTGTGTTCTTCCTCCCATTCGTTTAACTTTCAAGTACCCTGTAATAGTGCCTGCTTTTTTGCTATCACAAATTTATTTTTTCTGCATCTAAAACTGTATGGCACCGAAGAACATCTACCACCTACTCATTTGGCAAAGTATAGTAGGTGCTGTTTTAACATGCCATTGTTTCCACCACTACAGTGTAATATTTTCTGTTACCATGGCCCAAAGCAAATGATCAAAAATCTTCTATGCTCGATGCTCAGAGTAACTTACTATAGATTTTTCCAGGAATTTTTGGATTTTTACCCCAGCCCATTTGTGAATAATTAGTTATTCTTTTACATCAGTCCTTTCTCCTCTTACCATCACCATTTGGACCATCCCCTCTTTTATCTTCTGTTCTGCTAGCCTGTTACATAGATCCAAACAAACAAGTATGTCTCAAACTCTATTGCAGTTTTCTTAATCAATTGAATTAACCTTTTGAGTGTTAAAAGAGTAGATTTCAGAGCTCCATTTTGAGAATGCCTATTTGTGACTGACCCACAGGAAAGCGCATTGGCAGCAGCCTATTTTTAAGAGTAAATGGCTACAAAGGAGTACCAAAGGGCTTTGGGTTTTTGCCAGGTGCTGAGTTACGTCCGCACGGAGTGGGACCCGCTGGATGCCAGGTTCAGCTGTCTCCAGCCCCAGCAGGTGCTGACGGTGGAGCGCTCGGTGTCCGCAGCCAAGGAGCCCATGGCCGACAGCTGCGTCTACAAGTGCGTCAGGAACAGAATCCAGTGCGCCGCCGTCACCAGGATCCCCCTGCGAGCCAGGGCCATCAGCTGCTGCAGGGATGTGACAGAAGACAAGCTGGTGCTGGGCTGTGAAGACTCGTCAGTAGTTCTGTACGAAGCCTACAGCCAAGTGACTCTGCTGGCCCAAGCAGAGCTGCTCCCTGCTGTAATTGCCTACCACCCCTGCGGAGCCGTGCTGGTGGTTGGCAGCTCTCAAGGGGAGCTGCAGCTTTTTGACACGGCGCTGTCCCCAGTTAAAATTCAGCTCTTGGCACAGGACTATTCACCTGAGGCAACTCTGCAGTTCAGTAAACACTGTGAGGTGCCCACCAGCCTCATCCAGATCCAGTGGGCTGCTCCGCAAGGTGCATTTCCCAGTCCTGACAGCATGGATATTCACGATCTGTTGTTGGTTAGATTTGATAAAGGACCCTTGGGAGTGCTTCACTTTAAACTTGGTAAGTTACTAAGCATATCTGTTGAACCTTGAGCTGTCAAAGAAACATCTGTATCCCACGAGGTTTCGAACACCCTAATTTTAAGTATATGAGACCATAGCCTTAAAAGCAAATTGTTCCAAAGATATCTGAAGATACCAAGGAGTTCTTTACGTTTCACAATAACTTTATACTGTTTCCTATTCATAGAATAGGACCCCAATCCACTGTCTGATCAGCATCCCATAATGTTCCTTACTACTTTAATAAAACACAACAATTTTTCCTCTGGAAAATTTGTTTAATCTGTAGTATGTAATCTTAAGAATTGTATTCATTCTGTAGTAATAATCTTAACAGTTTAAAATAAGCTATATTTAATAATAGAATAGTAATGCTATTTTCTTTACCAAATGTTTTTTTTGGATGTGTGATGTATTTTTGTCAGTATTCTGTTCTTCCTGGCCTCAGTAAATGAAGTTGCACCTTTTCTTTCCTTTGATGACTTTCCACAGAAGAAGCATGATTTTCATAACCTTCAGAGAAGTTTGGTCTCTCAATTAATTTGCAAGGAGTTGTGAATAAAGGAAGTAATAAAGCTAATTTTAGAATTTATATAGCACTTCTTATTTTAGGTGTGAAGAGACTTTAAAAGAGTAAAACCACAACAAGCTTCCTTTTACAAGCAGAAAAGCAAGAAGCAGTAAAGAAAAGCTAAAGGGCTTTCCAAGAGTTACACAGTGGCTGAACTAAGAATAAAACCCCTGCAGTGGCTCATCAGTGAGAACTGTATTCATTTCATTCAAGTCAGGCAAGTTACAGTGGTGCAAGCCCATTGTGAAAGCTAAAAAAACAATCATGCTTAAACCCTCTGACTCCCAAGCCAGTGTTTCAGCAGGGCAGACAGCCATCCTGGAAGATTTCAGCATTTTGCCCATTGTCTGTCCAAGAAAACAGGATTACTTCTGTAGATCTTTATGGGAGTTTTTAATGATTCTTTTGTATAAAGCTATTGAGATTAGGAAGAAGCCTTTTTGATAAAAGAAAAACCAAAACCAAACAACACACCAAAAGACTCAACAACCTAGGTGATAGTAAGATTTGAAAATCTACTCTATTTCTTTACTTAATGAGACATGTGCTTTTGTGGGGAAAAAGCTCTCTAAAATTAGCAGAGACCTGAAAATTTGAAAAACTGAATTAAAAAAATTTAACCAAGTGTGCCACTACAAAAAGGTAAATTAATATAATAGGAAGTTAGTAACAAAAAAATATTGGATTGACTTATAGTTGTGTAGTTTTAAAAGAGCTGATCCAGATTATTGCTGTTATCCAAAAAAACTATTTAAAAACCTGTTTACTGTTTATCATTTATTTTGAGATAATTAGCTGCATTGAGTTCAGTGACAGGTTTAATAGTTACAGAGTACCCCAGGACACTAATTATAACAGCTATTTGATGGTTTTGTGCATGTTGGCCATTTAAAAAAAACCCTCTAAATTATCTCTGTCCTGATTTGGTGGGATGGAGTTGAGCAGGAGGCACTCTACCCACCTCTACCTTGCTTTTCTTCAGCCCTCCCTGGTGAGGTTTTCTCACAACAGCTTTCCAGAATGCACAGCTTTCCCTTTGCTATCTTTAGCACATTTATGTTCTTACCAAGGCAAGCAGGCTCTCAGTACAGGGATTTAGAGGCCTTTCCTGCTAATTGCCAGCTTGTAAACTTAATTGGACTGTCTCCCTGGGCACTGTTCCTAAATCAATTAGGCAGTGAGTTGGCTGTCACCTCTTTTTCCCAAGCAGGTTGCCTGGAAGCGCACCACCCAGGAGAAGTCAAGCATCCAAATGGGAAGATGTTGACCTCTACAGCTGAAAGTTATCACATTTTAAAATTCATTCTGTATAATTACTGTAAAATCTCTTCTAGGAAGAAGGCAAAGCTCTCTCCTTTCTTCCCTCTCTCACTCTTTGTAGTCCACTGTGCAAAAATATGCTGCTTTCTGTTTCATCCTGCTGCTTAGCTTTACACCTCATCTCCTCAGTTTGCCACACTGCCAAGGGAGCACTGTGGTTATTAGTGAGTCCCTCTTCTCAGCAGTTTTTGGGTTTCTGCTATTTAAGAAATAATGCAGAACAAATAAATAAATTAATTAAATGCAAAAATAAATTGTAGCAAAAATTTAGGGGCTCATGACAGCAAGACCCAGACACACAATCAGGACTGAAATAAAATGCATAAGTAACACATGGCTTGGAATTGTTTCCCACAGAAGGTTGTTAAGAAACTGTGTCAGTGAGAACAAGCAAATATGTTTTTAACTTCCAGCTACATTATGGTTTTGGACAAGTTCTGTGAATCTCCATTATGCTGTCTATCCAGATTTATTTCAGGAAAAAGTCATATTAAACATACCCTCAAACACTAATGGCAAATATTTTTGGTGTCTAATGGTGCCAAACTCATTTCCAAAAGCGGCTTCTCGTCATTGATGTCAACCCAGATCTTGAATAATGCCAAATGTGGTGCTGATGCCAGTGGTTCAGCATTGCTGGCCTCTAAAGGCATTTTAAATATAGTATTGTATTTAATTAACATGAAAATAAGTAGTTTCATCCTTGCTGAAAGGTTAATGTGGAGATTGCCCAGCTGCTGTAACATTTTAAAAACACTAAACATTTAGGAAGAATAAAGTCTGCCATAACTATTAAATGTTAACAAGTTAAACATGGCTGTTACCCAGCATAATATCTATAGGCTTTAATACATGCAAATATAAGGTAAAATACAATAGAAAGCCTTTCTTTAATGGTCCTAAAAAAATTAAGTACTTCTCTGTTACTAAATGTAAATATGTAAGATTTTTCCCGAAAAACATCAGTTCTGTATATGCAACTTCTCAGCAGTTTACTTCTCCTCAAGCTATATTCAAATGTTTTCTTCCACTTTTTTCCCTCACTTATTTCACATCACAAACAGTATTCACAACAGTTATGAATGTTTGGTGAGGTATGTTTTATATGTAACAGATTTGCTTTTCTCTGTTACCAGGCTTTGTTTCCCCCAGCCAGTCCTATGGTTTTAAGACTAGTACTGAAATTCAGCTTGTTCCCTTTCTCATCAGAACTTTTCCCATATCTTTAGTTTCAACAAACGACATCAGAATATAAATTGAGAAAATAATAAAAAAAATAATAAAAACCAACAGCAAAGACAACCCAAAAACTATGTTTTTATTTAAAGAGAGAAAAACAGTACATTTATTCTGGTCTCTTTCTAATATTTGGAGGAGTCCTGATAAAGAGTACTCTATCAGGGTGACCCAAAGTGAGCAGTTGCTAAAATGCTATGTGTGGCCAATGCTACATGATCATTTGGTTAGACAGAGACAATAAATAACATTACTTCCTGCAGCTTTTTAGTCACCTTTTCTGTTTGGAAGCTGAGATCTACAAATCAAGAAACATTTGTGTGGCAAGCTTTTTCTTGGTTTCATGTGTGCAATTGTAATTCAAAGGTCTATAGTATCAAGATGTTGATAACTTCCATGGTATCCCTTCAGAAAAAATGCTCTACTTAGAGAATATTGCCAAGCTGGAAGGAGGTTCCAGAGCAGTTGCAATATGGAGAGTAATTGAGTAAGAGTTGCTTTGAGGTTGGAGCTGCTCTACACTTGTATGCACAGACATCTGTGTGAGGCAAATGCTAGGGTTTAGTGTTGTCCAGCAGTATTTCCCTGCAGGAGGGAGATGCTGTGAAAGTGAATTTATTACCTACCTTACAATAGAGATAAACTGCAAATAAACTTGTTCTACGTTGTCTAAGCCAAACTTCATTACGTGGTGTTGCCACCAGTGACTTTTGGCAACGTTCATTCAGTATCCATGTGTGAAGTTCATTGATGATTTTTGTCTGCTGTCCAGCACCCTCTGGATAGAGGGTAAGATAGTAAGGTGCTATCTCTTATAAAACATTTAATACTGAAAAACATCTACTGAATTTTAAATTATGGCAATTATTTCTAATTGTGCTGAAAAGGAGTCAGCTACTGGTTTACATACTCTGTACCAAAGTATAAACCCATTATCTCTGGTTGTAATATTTCTTGTTAAAGGTGTGCTCACAGGAGGACAGCTGGGCCTTGTGGAAATCATCCACCAGTACATTCGTTACGATGAGATACAGGAGGCAGTTAATGTCCTGAGCACCATGAACTGGAACACGATGGGGCAGCAGTGCTTTATCTGCCTGAGTGCTATTTGCAACCACCTTCTTAAACAAAAGCTTACACCAGCCAGAGAAGGTAAGAGACTGTTTATATTCCTAATGGATTTTTGTGGTGTCTTGGTAATTCATGTGTGGATTATGACAATGTATTTATTGTCTGTATAAAGAAGACAGTAGTGAGAATCCAGACATTCAGCCAGATTATGGTGCCTCATAATCACATGTCATTGTAGACAAGTAATTTCAATAAAATCTGGACCGATGTGTTGATTACATTTTAGATTATATCAACAGTGACACTAAATGCACATTGTAATATATATATATCTATGCTATAGGCATTACCTAATATATATATAGGACTAGCATTATATTCTGTAACTTCATTACATTCTATAAATTTAGCTTATGTTACAGACAAAGGTTAGTTAATAAAGTATTGAAAAAATTGTGTTATATTCATGCTGAGACAGCTCCAACCTAAGGAGGGATGTTTTCCTGCAATGGGGACAAGAGATTTTGGTATGTTTTTTCAGGTGCTTTCAAAGGGTCATTCTTTCATTACAAGATGCAAAGGCCTTGAATACACTATCCTCTGCTGCCTCCTTTAGGATTAAAGCATTTGTCCTCACTGTAATCTAGCCCCCTGCAGTAGTAGCTGGGGTCCCTCAGAAGAAATGATGAATCTTAGGTTTAGCCCCATCTCTGCTGAAGCCTGGTGTGGTGCCTTCCTCTTGATTTGCTGTCTATCTTGAAACTCAATAGACTTCAAGATTTGAAGTGCCTTGATTTAGTGAAGGTGTTATCCTTCAGTCTAGCAGGCAGACAGCTGGAGACCAGGCATCTTTTGTGGGAAGAGAGAATACTTAGGATTCTGGTGTGTTTGATGATAGAAAAACTCCAAGGTGTCCTACATTGCTGCCAAGCCATCAGCTATCCCATTTTGTGGGATCTGATTTAAAAAAATCTCTGTGTTGCAAACACAACATATAGACTCTAAATAAAACATTCTTTGAAAAGGACCTGTGAAAAGCTATGATACTCTTCTAAAAATATGTACATTATAAACAGATGTCTGTGTGTTTCCCCCATGCAGCTCCCTAACACTGTTTACAGCACAAGGAATTTTATTGCATCCAGGAGTTTTTCTATCTAAATCTAACAAATTTGGCATGGTAATTTGTTTTCTTTTCTATTAACAAAACCCAGTGGGACCTTTTATTTATAGTGATGGGGCAGTTATCTTTGAGATCTTTATCCTGCCTTCTACATCAAGCTGGGCTATTTAATGAATGTATAACTGTGCTAGTAGTTATTCATATTCCATGTCGGTTGAAATATTTCAGAACTACGAAACATGCTGTCAAGAAAACAGCAATGGCAAGAGAGTATGGCTTGTTTTTCTATTTCAATCTAAATTGACTGCTGCTTTGAAAGAAAATACCTTTAATATTCAACTTATCTTACTATCTAGATTGGAGATAATACAGAACTAATTTACTAACAGTTTGCCTGTGTAACTAACGCAGTACTATTAGCACATTTAGCGCTATCAAGCCTAATAAAATCAAATGTAACTATGCTTGGAAGTAAAGAACCACCATCCCTCAATACAGAAATGCCTAGTTCAAACAAACATTAGTTATGACAAATCAATGAGATTCTGTCTGCTTAATGAGAATACAGTTTGCTTGTAGAACAACATAAATATGCAGCAAATGCATATATAACAAATTCTTCCTTTTCAGCCTATAAGGCCTTGTACTACATTGTTAACTCTCAAGCAAAAGTCAAAGAGCATAAATATTATTGATCATTTCATTTCCTTTCATCTAAGCGTGTGGGACACACAAGTATACTGTATGTTTATTTGTATTGTTTATAATTTTGTATGAAAAATGTGTAGAAAAATGCCTAAGAGCTTGAGCTGTGGAGTGTAGCAGTCAGAAAGTATTTAAAGAAGAGAGAACTCGTGTAACAAAAGGGCTTTATTTTATTGATTACAAGGGAGGTTTTCCTGTTTCCCACCACTACATGCTGTCAAACCCTTAGGGTGTCTAGACCCTTTTATTTAAAATTTTTAAAGAAATGTGGGCTGAAGGAGGTTCCTTAGACCTCAAGGCCATGACAAAGAGGGTTCTGTTACCCGCTGACCTAACACAATAATCCCTGAAAAACTGAACTCCCTTGTTGTTTGCCTAAGAGGACAAAGACGATTTGAGCTAATTGAGAGTTGATCTCTACTGGGCAATCTTGTTCACACTGTATTAGTCTCATGAGTCACTTTTAGTTGTAGGCTGCTGGTGAGAACTGGATGTGTTATAGTCTTCTTTATCCTTTTGATAGCTTTTGTTGCTCAAAGTCATTGTCAGCTATGCCTCCAAGCCAAAGTTTGTATGCACATTTGTGTTTGTACAATCTGTCATATTTTAATTTAATCTGTCCTACAACAACATCACATTTCATCACTGTTTGAGGAATTTGACTGACTGCAAACATGAGCAACCTGTTGTAATTGAAACTAATTCACTTGTTTCATTGCTGTTGTGTTTGAATTCTACAGCACAGCTTGAGGCAAGCCTTGGAACCTTTTATGCTCCAACAAGGCCTCTCTTGGATAGAACTGTGCTGGAGTACAGGGACACCATCAGCAGATATGCAAGAAGGTTCTTCCACCACCTGCTCAGGTGAGTGGCAGTTTCATCTTCTATCAACTTAAAATCAATTGCATATTTCAATAGCCACCTACTTTAATGTGGTTAATGTTTTCCAAGAGGACCACCCCTGAAAAAAATGCATTCATTGTTAATGTTTGTTTAACTTCCACTCTGTTCCTTTCAAACAAAGTAATGCAGATAAAGTGCTATTGAGAGCTCTTCTGTCATCAATACATCTAAAATGAATCACCCTTTCCCATTTAGCTTGATAGAAAAAAGATTACATGCTTCTGGGAGACTGATATCCACCAACTGCTTGCAGATTAGTTATAGAAAGAACATATAAACTTGGAGAAAACACTGAGAACACAAAAGAATGCTGCATGGTCCAGAACATTTTTGTCTTTGTACCACTGAAATCTGAACATTTTTTTTATTCTCACTTTTAAAATTCTCATATAAAAATTCACGTTCCATTAATTTTTCGGTGCCATTAAAATAAAAGGAAAAAATGCAATGTTAAATTTGTCTGTGAATGATCTAGAATCATAGAATGGTTTGGGTTGGAAGGGACCATAAAGGTCATCTTGTTACAACCCAGTTGCCATGGGCAAGGGCACCTTCCAGTAGACCAGGCTGTTCCAGGCCCCATCCAACTTGGCTTTGAACATTTCCAGAGACAGGGCATTCACAACTTCTCTGGGCAACCTGTGCCAGTGCCTCACCACCCTCACAGTAAAGAATTTCTTCCATATATCCAATCTAAATTTCCCCTCTTTCAGACTGTAGCCATTACTCCTTGTCCTATCACTACAGTTCCTGACAAAGTCCCTCTCTGGCTTCCATGTGGGCTCCTTCAGATACTGGCAGGTTGCTATGGGGTCTTCACACAACCTTCCCTTCTCTGGGCTGAGCAGCCCCAACTTCCTCACTTTGTCTTCACAGGGAAACTGCTCTGATATCAGACAAGAGATACTAACAAATTCAGCGGGAATTTATAGTACATTGGTTTATTGTTGTATTTTTTCCAATCCATTATAAATACTGGTATGCAGCAGTTTAACCTGTTCACATATATAGCTGTGGTATTCCCTTTGAGAATTATCCAGTGGATGAAAAGAAGGAGAAATTACCTTCTGAGTGATACAATGTTTGTAACATCTTGTTGAGAAGGGGTGTAGATGGGCATACTGCGAAGACTTACAATGCACCCTTTTGCAGTGATTCGTCCAGATTGTATATACATTGTCTGCATAGGCAAAGCAAGTTATTTTTTATAGCATAGAATGTGTTTTTTTTCAAATCTAGAAGAAGAGTATTCTATATTGTCTTCTACATTTTGAGTCTGAAGAGAATCATCTTTCTGGTGAACAGGTCCATTCCAGTGGGGAAATCATTCCTTGTAGAGAAATGATCCAATATTTGCATAATGTGCACCAGTCTTTCACTGGTGTTTTCTTAACACAGGTGGCCACAACAGTGGGTACAAACTCTGTTAATTGCCTTTCTCCTAGAAACCAGCAGGAAAGACGCAAAGATGCTGTTGTGGCAGTGGCCAACTTATCATGGCCATGGGCCAGTTGCCTGCAGAGGACAGATGCAGGAAAAATGCCTTAGAGATTGCTGAGAGGTGTAACTCTAGTGCTCTTACATCTGCAAGAGAAAGGTGTATTCCCTCTGACTCAGGATTTGCTTCCAAGTGCTAGCAGGCATGCAGAGGCATGGGGCCCTGGCTAGGCTACCAGCCCTTGAGGCTGCAGCTGAAACACTGACTCAGTCCTCCTAAAACAAGAACCTTCAGTGTCAGAATGCTGCCTGGACAGTGTGGGGCACAGCAAGAGGTGTGCATGAGAGTCTTCTCGTGTCTTTTACCTCCCGCTGTAAAGCAGCCCTTGAACAATCTACAGTTGTGGTGGTTTTTGGAGCAAATGTATTATTTTGCTGTTTTCCTATTTTCAAAGGGATTTGTATTCAACCAAATCAAAGTGATAGGATCACGTGATTGCTGCAGAACAGATGGTAATGCTTAAAGCTTATCTCAGAAGACATCATCTAAGTACAAAATTAAATGTTCAAATATGGGAGATTTATCAGATAGAAAGCAAGGAAATGATGTTCAGAGCTGATCATTATTGCATTAAAGTGGCTGTGCCTTAATTGGTGTTTATTTCCTTTTAGATGTTTTCTTAAGTGACTAGAATGATTTAAATGTAGGCTAAGCAGAGAGAACTACAGATTTGTTGAGGAATGGTAAACCATGGTTCTGGGTGAGTGAATGCCATCCAGGCATGATGCAATGTCTAGGAGGATCATAGGGAGGCACAGTGCCCACTAATTCAGGCACATGAAAGTTGCAGCTGCTGCTATTACATCTGTCTGTGATAGACTAGGCAAGGCACTCCTGCAAGCCTAATTTACAGCTGTGGGTTCAGAACAGGAGGAAAAGTGAGAAGGGAATTATGCTCCTGCCTTCTTAGGTCACCTTGTTATGCCCATGAGGACACCGAGAATGAGGAGTTCCTCCCACTGCCTGTTTATCAGGGAAAGCAAGGTCAGGTGGAGTGGAAGGAATACAGAGGTGCTGTTCACCACTGCAGGGAGAGAATTCATGTGGCCAAAGCTCAACTGGAGCTGAAGCTGCCCAGAACTGTGAGAGACCATAAAAATACATGAATACATTAAAAAATACATTAGTAGCAATAGTCAGTGCAGCAATAGCATCAGCCTGTTACAGGATGAGGATGGTCACCTCACTAACAGGGCCATAAAGCAAAGATGTTTAATTCTTTCTTTGTCTTCTGCACCAGTGATGGGCTAAGGGGCTCCGCTCCCAGTGCCCTGAACTGAGCCCTGAGGACCATTCCAGTTCTCCAGCTGGACCCCCATGAATCCATGGGGCCTGATGGGATTCATCCCATGGGAGAACACTCCAAGAGCTGGCTGATGTCATTGTGAGGCCTGTCTCCATGATTTTTGAATTGTCTTGAGAATCTGGAGAGGTCACAGCTAACCAGAAGCTGACAAACATTGTCCAAGTTTTCAAGAAGGGCAAGAAGGATGACCCTGGAAACTTCAGGCCTGTCACATTCACTTCGGTGACTGGTAAATTATGGAGAAGATTATTGAGGGAGGTGTTGAAAAGCACCTGAAGGACAAGACAGTCACTGGTCACAGCCAGCCCAGCTTCAAGTCCTGCTTATCAAAGCTGATTTTCTTTTATGACAGGGTAACCCACCCAGCTGATCAAGGGAAGCCAGTTGATGTTACACTTTTGGGTTTCAGTAAAGCTTTTGATACTGTCTCTCATGGGATCCTCCTGTACAAAATGTCCATCCCCCAGCTGGATAAACACATCCTGTGATGGGTGAGCTCACGGCTGGGGCACAAAGGGTTACGGTGAGCAGGATGACATCAGACTTGGGACCTGTCACTACCGGGGTTCTGCAGGGCTCCATCCTCGGCCCTGTGCTCTTCAGCATCTCCAAAATGGGACTGGGAGGGACACTGAGCAAGTTCACAGACAATGCACAACTGGCAGGGTGACACTGCAGAGAGACCTCAACAAATGAGAGGACTGGGAAATCACCAACCTTAGAAAGTTTAACAAGGGCAAATGCCAAATTCTGCGCCTGGGACTGGCAACCCTTGTGTTTATAGGCTGGGGAATGAGAGGCTGGAGAGCAGTGCTTTGGAAAGGGACCTGGGGGTCCTGGTTGATGGAAAGCAGTGCCCTGGCAGACAGAAGGGTCACTTGGCTTGTTCACCCTGGTGAAGAGGAAACTGAGGGAAGACCTCATTGTGGTCAGCATTCTCATGAGAGGAAGTGGAGAGGCAGGCACTCTTCACTCTGGTGACCAGTAACAGGGCACGAGGAAAAGGCCTGAAGTTGTGCTGGGAGTGGGTTAGGTTGAATATTAGGGAGAGGTTTTTCACACAGAGGGTGGTTGTACACTGGAACAGGCTCCCCAGGGCAATGGTCACAGCACCAAGCCTGGCAGAGCTCAAGGAGTGTTTGGACAGTGCTTGCAGGCACAGGGTGTGATTCTTGGAGCTGACCTGTACAGGGCCAGGAGTTGGATTTTGATGATCCTTGTGGATCCATTCCAACTCAGGATATTTGATGTTTCAATGATTCTATTATCTGATTTATTCCCTTTTTTACCCTTTTTCATTTAGCACTTGCAGGCTAGTTACAAATAGCTAATGTATCTCTTCAGAGTGATTTTTTTTCATTACAACAGGTGTCTGCATGACCAAATCAGAAGACTTGGATGCAGAAGCCCTGTAAACTGAGATTGTAAACTTGATGCAGCATTAGGGGTCATTTATTACTTTCTTGTGAGCATGAGGAGACAAAAGCAAAGTGATAATTTGGTACCCTGTTGCAGCAAGAAGTGGAGGAAGTATAGTGTTTCTAAATTATGTGCAGTTAAATTGTAGCTGATATTCAAAAAGTATTTCTTGGCATAGAGTAGGGCCTTCTGCAGTTCCTTTGGACTTCTGAAGGAGCAAGCAGCAGATTCACAGACATTAAACCTGGAAGATAAGGAACTAGGAAGAACTCAGAAGAGTTCTTTTTGGTAGGAAGAGTCAGGGAAGTGGGGTTAGGAACGTGAGTAAAAGACAAGTTGTTGGGTTCAAAGGTCTGAAGGCAGGTGTGGGAATGTACAGTGTCCTGCAAGATGGGCAGAGTGGCAGCACAGAGCCAAATGGGGGAAGACAGTTTAGGATGTGTGTGGTGAGCTGTAGAGGAGACCAGACACACCAGGGATGGACAGGGAAGGGCAGAGTCTTTCATACAAAATTAAAACATTAAAACACTTAAATGTTTTGAGATCTAAATCTGAAAAATGTTCATATAAACAGAAGTTTTCACCCCCCTCTCCTTTGAATACCCCACCAATCTGCCTTAAGCCTTTTTAGAAGGACCAGCTCACGGGAGAGAAATATTAATTCATTCTACATGCTGAGACAGTCTTTGACCTGCCTGCTGAGTCTGCCAAAAAAGTGCCATTTCTTGTTGTACTTTT